CAAATAATTCATTCATGTTACACTTCGTTTTCGTATACTCAAAAATCATTTTAAAAAATACTTTGTGCGTGCCCGGGACTTGAACCCGGGCCCCTTCCTCTGCTCTTGAGCGCCGTCGCCTTTAACCACTCGGCCGCGCACAAAGCCGTGCTAATGAGGAATGTTCATTCATACAGTAAGTGTTCTTTACTTCAAAATTGATACATTGTGTGCATTTATGCCAATATGTTCAAATTAACATGAGCTTCACATAGAGAATACCTTATAAACGAATATACTCTCACATTACATAGTGCAAACTTCTCGGCGATACATCTGGACATTCGATTGGATAGAAGTGAGACATGAACCAGCCAATAAGAAGGAATGATTTGTCCACTACCCAGCGTCGTTCCCTGTACTACTAGTATGAACTAGTTGGAAATACTGATAGTACTCTTAACAGCTCTTTGGTCGCAACAGCTCGGTCGTGAGCGAAAATTGGGGAAATTTTGAATTTTGACCAATGACGGCGTAGTTACGCGCAACTCAGAAAGGTCAACAGAATATTATTTTCCGAAAAACCAACAGTCCAATTATTTTTTTCTCATACAAATTTCAAGATAATTCTCTAGTACCACGGGGGAAGGATTTCCGTCGTTCCCTGTATACGGTTCACGGTATATAAAAACCCGTATGCTTGATTCAAGGAGTTGAGCGAGCTATCGTCGCTAATGCGTGCTCCACGTCCAGCAAACATCTGAGGCCGTCGTGTTCGCGTAATCACGACACCGAGACCTTGCTCTACAGCGCGAACATCAACATGCCGACCTCATGCGTAGATTCAAGGAGGTGTTACCTGTTGGTCATGGTTAGATGGCTGCACTTGCATAAGACCCAAAGTGCTATGCACAACATCGTAAAGGAGGGATACACAACTTTCGGCATCCGAACGTCAAATGCCGCGGAATAAACAACGCACAGTTGGGGAACACCTTCTGTCTGCCGACCCCACGACCGCATTCCACATGTAATGTACAGTATATGCTGCTCTTGCACAGCAAGGCATGTCGTCGTTGAGAAGAATTGGCAAACGATCAGCCCGTGGCCCTAATATGTGCTGTGCGTGGCATTATCGAAGCTCGAGTAAGGGTAGCTAATTGCTTGGAGGTAAACTGCCATGCAAAAATGTCCAATTTTGTATATTTTCTGTATGAATAGTCGCGACGTGTATCAAGTAATCTCAACGACAAAGCGAAGTACCATGTTTCTTTTCCCTGTGTCCATTCACTTGCTTAACGCAACTCATGCGTTCTGGACCTTTCTGAGAGCACTTATACCTGTGGAGAATGACAAAATGATGGTTTGCCCTGAGTTCGTGTCCCCGCCACGCATGCTGGCTGATGTAGGTTGGGTGTATTTCCGCCGAATTGACATGTACCTGGAGAGTTTACTGCATTCTACCAATACCAGGTGCTTCTAAAATTGTACACTAAGGCAGTCTGTCCTACACATGCAAAAACTGAAGGCAATCTGTCCTACACAATACCTTCATGGCGTACCAACGGTGGTACCATCCCTCGCTCTGCGTAAACATCAAACACATGTAACGCGTTAGTTGTTAGAGATACTAAGGAAAGGTGGGAAGGCCAATCAACAAGAGAAAGCTTTTGCGGGGTGAGCGGTAATAAATATGCAATGCATGATCAAAGCTCTCCTTACACGTCAACAATGTCGTGGCGGAGATGGGGCGCGGCGGCATCAGAGCACGGTGGTGGTGAGGGGTTATCGGCGTGGGTGGCATGTTGGTGATTGGGTTGGTCGGCCCCGAGGCTAGGCTGGTGGCTGGGCACGTCGGCCTCGTGCCCATCGAAATCGTGGTGCTGCATCGTAGGAGCATCAAGTGGTGCATCACATTTCGAAAAGGACTTCGACCGACTTTTCGGATCACTTACGAGACGAGCAGTCCTAAGAAATCGGGCTAACGAGTAGTACTAATTCGAAAAAAGCGTACTGTTACAGGTCATCGTATTAAAACATCGACTTTAGGAAGTATTTTCTGAAAAATGCAGCGTTTAATATCTTGTCCAAACAGAAATTGATATTATAGCATACCGTCTAGTATAATACGAGTGAGACAGCCATTTCGAGGACGACACCCATGCAAATCAATAAATTATTTAGGTTCCCGACGAAATTGTTGTAGAGATTTCACCACGCGCCAAAATATTCACCGTAAGACTTCACATAAGCTCTACAGCCATATACGCTTTTCATGAATAAAGGCAAGAATAAATATCAGCGTTTTATGTGCGCGCAAGAGCTAGACTGTTGTCTTACACGGCAGAGCACAATGCATTCGCGTTTGTGCCATGGAGGACTACCAACAAGCTCTGGTACAGCCTCAGCGAGGAAGACTAGTGTCAAAGTACTGTCCCAAGAAGAAGCCAGAGCAGTACAAGAACACTTTGGTAGAGTATAGCGGTATCTAACCGTCATCAAATACTTCCTAATGTATAGAATTTCTGCTACTTTTATTACCGACTAGGCCAACCTGACGTCGGCGGCCGCGAGAACATGCGCAAGACCAACTACTCCGGGGATAACAGGCTGATGACTCCTAAGAGCTCCTATCGACGGAGTCGTTTGGCACCTCGATGTCGACTCATCACATCCTGGAGCTGAAGAAGGTTCCAAGGGTTCGGCTGTTCGCCGATTAAAGTGGTACGTGAGTTGGGTTTAGAACGTCGTGAGACAGTTTGGATCCTATCTTCTATAGATAAAAAGAAAAATGCAAGACTCTAATTCTAGTACGAGAGGACCGAAAAGGAAAGCATAGATGCCTAGGCATTAATTGATATTTTTAGGACGTAATAAAAACGAAAAGCTATATGTAATATTTATAAATTTTAATATATAGATTTCCTCAAGAAAAACTTTTCTTTGTGAAAATTTTAAACGTAGTGAATTGAAATATCTTAGTAACTATTGAAAAAATCAAACGAGATTCCGTAAGTAATGACGAGTGAAAATGGAAAGTTGTTGGCGACGCGAGATCACATCGAGTGGTTAGCCTCGAGTTCAACCACGGCGACGTTGCGGTTCTGGATGCCGCTCGGCCTCGGAACGATGCTCAGTGTGTCTTGTTGATGGCATACCGTCAATAGCAGAGGAGCCTGTTAGTGTGGTTAATGACGCTGTTGTGGCCGAATTGTTTACAACCAGTGTTGTTGAGGACACGATGATCCGGCGAACGATATCGACAACACATTCGAGGACAACGATGATCAATTAGACTAAAAATGCATACAATTGTGTGAATTCTTCATCATATTCATTTTAATTCACTTGTTTTTCGTGCTCTCGGAAACACCGAAACCCTACTGTAAATTTAAACATTTGTGTAAGGTCGGATAGGCTTCCTACATATATAAAAAGAAGTGTATGTGTGGCTTGAAAACCAATTTCACTTCTCTTAAAATCTATCCGAATACGGATAAAGGCATATCGCTGTTTGACTCGAAATACGCTTGAATCCCTTTCAATTGCCTTGTTTGTGCTCTGCACACAATATCCGGACATTGTCCACATGATTTTACCCTTTGCCTTAACAATCGTTTGAACAACCGTCATATTCTGTTTCGCCCAACAATGATCTTTTTCCATTTGATTCTTGCTCGTTGGTGTCGAAAGGACCAGGGACACTAATCGAGGGACCGCTTCGGCCTTGCCCAAAGTATTTACTGTACTAGGTACCGGCACCACACGTATGTACTCGCTCTTTGAAATTTTTCATGCTATCAATGGTTAAGTTACATCACACGTAGTCCACATCAATAAATAGACAATTTTGTATTGCAACGGCATTACTGTGTTCAATGGCAAAAAACGTGTTTGGGCAGCTCAAGGCAAGGTAACAATGTGATCGCCTCTTTCCAACAACTGAACGTTAATGTTTTGACGCGGTTATTTAGAGAAGTGATTCCAAAACGTACGCTGCGGCGACCGTGTCTTGCTGCGTGGCTACCGTGCTTGTGTCGGAAGGAATGCTGAAGGCATCAACGTCGAAGATACCATTAACGACTCTGTAAATTGTAAAGCCGCTTACAATCGTTGTTTTAGTGGTTCTATCCCACACGTCATTGACCTATTTGACGAGCTCAAAGCGATTGGTGCGCTCAGATGCAAAGTGCCATAGCCGTTTTATCTTCGAGCTTTCTGCTCGATGATAATGGACTCATCAGTGCTGCAAGAACGCCTTTGAACGCTTTATCGATAAAACGTCAGGCCGTTCGCAAATCCAGGTATATGTTGTTGGGATCTTCTCAAGCACAACTTCGACTTCCATTGCATACACCACAACGTCTTCGTTGAAGTGGGCACTGAAGTCCTCCCAATGAGGAGCGACGGTGGACGTCTTTATGCCTTCGGTACCGGATATGCATATTCAATAATGGTAGAGAAATTTTGCTGTTCCACGATGCATTAGGATTACCAGTATATATTTGAGCCGATGAACGTAAAGCACCTATGAATTCGCGACGGGTGTCGCTTGCGGAGTGCTTCAACTTCATTCCAAACTTATCGACAAAGCCATTGCATTTGGTAAGATTTTCTTGCTCAACCTCCTTGATCTTGAACTCTTGCGACAGTTGGACAACTTGTAGATTGGGTAAGTGCGTAATCGCCAACTGCTAATTTCGCCATGCGTACATGCTGTTTCTGCCTGTGGAGGTATATGGCTTGCTTGCGCAACTTCCCGCTCCGTTCAATTTGAGGACAAGGGACTATGGATACCTCGGAGTTTCGGGGTCAACATTTTTGCGAAAACCCGATAGTGTAACTGGACTAGTCCTACATACCATTCACTACTCTCGCCTCCAAGATAGACTTTTTAATTAATTCGATCCAAGTGACGAACAAAACCGCAAGTAACAGTTTTGCGACATTGGAGCGACATATGACGACAGAGTGGAAAATTCAAAACTACTTGCCCTCAACATTTCCCAAGGGAAAAGAGCACCGAACACAGTTTCCCCCGAAACCATAAATGCATATCCGAAGATATTGCTGGCCCAAGCCACGACTACACGATGCCTGCAACCGCCACGGCATTCCCTACAATGCGGACTACAGTGAACCGGGAAAAACCTCTCAAGCGTTG